TTGATGTTGATTTGTAGAAAGTCTAAGTGTGGGGCAGAATGTCCTTTTTATGTATGCCTGCGTACGGGCTACCTACTTGGCTATTTTTGCTAAACTGAGGAGTAGTATAGCTTGATTTGGAAACTATTAAAATACAGATATTTGTTGTCCAAACCAAATCCTCTTTCCAGACAGGTATTTCTATTTTCTGACTTTTCTTGGTGTTTTCTCCGGCTATCTTTTTCTCTACCTTCTAAATCTAGGTAATCCCTTCTTGTTGTATCCTATTTACATTTTCTTAAAGCATCTGATTTTTTCTAGCACATTAATCCTGTAACTGTATGGATCTGCCTAAATGCCCGGCTGATTGAGTGATTTCAAGTGGTGGTAGGGGATAGCGTTATGGTTAATGTAGTAAGTGACCGATGCTGGATTTAGGTAGGCTGGTAGGGATATAAGATTGAGTAAGAACTGAGTAAGAGTTGTTAGAGTGTGTTTATGTTTGTTTAAAGGTTCTTCTTGGTTGTTTTAACTTTGGCCCGAGTTTTCGAGGACAAACCAGTCCCGCTCTGTATTACTAAATAGAAGATTTGGGGTGGTAATTAATATTGATTTGTAGAAAGTCTAAGTGTGGGGCAGAATGCCCTTTTTATGTATGCCCGCGTATGGGCCACCCAGTAGCTATTCAAATTGTCTTTCAAATTGTCGCATTGTTAGTCAAATCGAGGTGATGAAAAGGTGAAGTTTTGGACTGGGAAAAGGGTCTTTGAAATTTGAAATAAGCGGCTAGGAAAGGTGGGTTACGTACGACCAATAAAATCATAAAATCGAAACCTTATATCTCTGTGGCCAATCAACGGAAGCAATGAAACCTTGGCGCTGACATAGTTCTTATTTACTACTATGGACTGCCAGCTGTTGACAGCTGCCCAAAGCTGGCAGGACCTTTCCTAATTGGGTTTTGTCGGATGTGTCTTAACAGTGCACCGTATCCGTAGGCAAGCATGAACTCTCCCAGCTCGATGTTGGAGCGCTCAGATGCGTAGCGGAAAGGATCTCGTCCTTTATGATTATGAATATGGACGTCGGCGCCAGCCTCGATTATGACCTTTGCGCATGCGAGATAAGGTGTAGAGGTGAGGAGTGTTAACGGGGTATTGCCTTGAAAAATGTCAACAAAATGCCTCTAATACCTATAAGCCATATGGGGGGGGTCTTGTAACTAACCATTGCTGGGAAGCCTGGAAGTAGGATCGGCCCCATGTTCTAAGAGAAAATTGGTCATTTCATCATCATTCAATACCAGTCCTGCCATCAGCAAGGGTGTAATTCCATTTTCAAGTTTACTTGATAGTATTTGATGCTGTTGAATATGCTCATCGAGCTGTTCTCGAGTCTCTGGAGGTAAGTAGTCATCCTTATTAGCGCCGTATCGTAGGAGTAGTCGTACAGCTTGTTTCTGTCCTTCCATCACTGCGAAAAATAAAGGAGGGAGCCTTGAAGTATACAGGTTAATGTTACTTGCAAAGCGTGAGAAATCTGCTTGAGGAATTTGAATGAAGAAGAAAGGATATCACGAAAGTAGAGAACGAACTTGTTGAGTGTCGATATGATGATATTTAGACTGATCTTGCTCTCTTGTAGTCTGTCCCTCAGTGCCTTGACCTCTCCCTTCCGCATCACCCACTTAATCATCTTGATTGGATTCTTCTTTCTATCTCTGTTTCCCACCAGAGGCGTCTAGGAGAATTGAATATATTGCATGCTGTATTGGTAAAGGTCGACGCATTCATTCAAGCTGTCGATCAAAGCATGATCCTCTGATTTCAAAGCATATCGCGTACCAATGCTCTGAATAGACCCGAAAACCGAAGACAAGTTCTGCACATCGCAGCGAATGTGAACTATCTCATCTGGCGCGTCGGCTATTTCCTGGATCAGCGAAATAATCGTTCTTGCCGTGGACACCCCAAATGCAGCAACCCCAACGACACTGGCGACCATAGACAAGGGATCAGCCATGGTTAGTACCGAAATAAGAATCCCACGCGGAACGTCTTCGAAAATGCGACTTAAGTAATGTCATGGTGTCGGCTCCTGCATTAATAGAATCTAGGAGGATGCTATAATGCGGGCTTGGTCTTTGCGTCACCATCATGGTTGTGGCTGCACTGCCTCGATTGGGCTTAAATAGACATGAATGCCTACCATAGTACGCTAAATCGACTTGACAGATCACTTCGGACTTCATTCGATAGAAACCTAGGTACCTGAGTATCAGGTATATGAATATTTGGATTGGCTCCGAGCGCGGGGTTGATAAACGCCATGCAGGATGGCTGACCCCTGACCGAAATTGCGTCTTGGAGTAGCGAGGAAAAGGCCAAACCAAGATACATGTCATTTAAACAGAGGTTGAAATCTTAAAAATCAGTATAATAGGTACCTATTCTGGATACTAACTACAACCTCGGATCGGCCTTAGATAGGCTGACATAGCATTGCACAGGAGGCGTCGTGATCTCTTCATGAGCTTCGCGAGAGCTGAGTTCCTCTGGCAATTTATGGAATTTGAAGTTCCACACCAGCAAAGTGAGAATAATTCGCATCTTGAGGTAAGCAAGCCGCCGGCCAAAACAAGCTCTCGGACCAAGCGCAAACGCAAGCATAGGACCAGCTTGCGAGTCGAAATACTCGTTTCCCTTCTCGTCCACCTTCAGCCACCTCTCCGGCTTGAACAGGCGGATGTCGTCGGGATTCCATCGCTCGCGCACTCGCTTGGAAGTCTCGCTGCGGACCCCGTCTGCCAGTGGCATGGGTGGTTCCGTGAAGTCTGGCCCGTCCCATATGATAATCAGCATTGTCCCTTTTGGGATCTCGTAGCCTAGGAGAGTGGTGTTGACTGTCGTCTGTCGGGCAACCACGGCTACCGGGGAATTGTAGCGGAGACATTCTTCAATTACGGCGTCGTGATACGGAATCGTGGTCCTGCAGATCTCTTCCACGGTTGGCTGACGGCCCTCTTCGTAGGCGGTGGCGTATGCTGTTCGGAGAGCTGCTCGTAACTTCTCCTGAGAGTCCGGGTGATCGGCAATGTTCTTCACCAACCCTATAGTTTCGTTAGAGATTGGCGAACGGATAGTTATCAAGGCCTTAGGTCTACTTACAAGAAATTGCTGTTGTGGTGGTATCATGGCCCGCGATGAAGTATTGGACAAGCTAGGAACATACGATTTAGCACCTAGGTAGGTAGGTATACGCACGCATACTGCTATATATGTATGAAGAACATACCTCATCGTAGATCCTTCCAGAGTGGAAGTTTGGCTTTCTATTTTCTTTGGCCGCGATCTGGATTTCTCTCTGAAGAAACTGGTCCATTGCCGAGCGAGTTTCAGATTCCCCCCTTTGTAGACGTGGCAAGGCTTTCTCGATTTCATCGTGAATCCACCTGTCCTTGAGAGCATAGCTCGCAGACAACGTAGGGTGGGTAAGCAGACGGAAGTAATGAACAAGTTCCGGGAACGGGTTCTTGAACTGCGCTCCTACGTGATCGGTGAGATCCAACAGTGCTGTCATCTCAGGCTTATGAGGTACTCGAGGAAAATCGACTGGTCCATCCGCATTGGCCGAAAACTCCTCACTATGCGCGTTTAGAGCGACTAGTTGATCGTTGGTCGTGCTCATGCTTTCGTCTAGACCGAAGGCAGCGGCGCTGACGATGTCCATGACCATATCCGAGAGATCATTCTTCGCAAAGAAAGGCCGACCATTTGCTAGTTGGGTCTTTAAAGTCCATAGAGCAATCAAGGTCTGCGTTTTCTTGTAGATCTCTGGTGCTGACACCTAAAGTCCAACTTAGTAAATCAAGACGAAATCTGGAAATCGACACGACAAGTAATGCATACTTCATGCAGAAAGCCAGGTGTCATTACATCTCTGGCAAGTTCCTTGTTGCCCTTATACCGGTGGTCTGATCCGAACATGGAGATTTGGGCATCCTTGACGATGGAAGAAAAAGCTGCTAGGTTTGATAAGGCTTTATCGAACTCCTTGTGTCGCCGGATCAATATGTCGTAAGACTCTTGAAAGTCGGTAAGAACTAGGGCTGGTTTCGTGAAGGGACCCAGCCAGACCTGAGTGAGGGGAGAGTTGTGTCGTCGGATGTGTGTGGTTAGCCATGGCCGGAAGCGTTTGGTCTCGCGAACGTAGGCTTGAATATCGGAAAAGTTTCCCAAGAGACTATTTTTGGCGCTTTTATCATAAGGGATTCCGGGGATTGGCTTTGGCAATGCCCACAAGTAAGCAAGATATAGGAGAGAGGCGGCGGAGATAAGAGAGAGTAAAGGGTATAAGAAATCTCGGTCTATATCAACAGGCGCCATGTTACCAGTTTCGGCTAAAGAAACAACTATAAACGATGACCACATGGGATTGAAACATTACGAAGCAGAGACACATGGTGCCATCTATATACTGTAGATAGTGCTTCGCCGCACTTTTAAGTAAGGGAGGTCATCGTTGGGAGTTCCTTTGTTGGTGGTGTTGGACGGTAGCACCAACACCAGGATTCAACATGTAGAATCATACCGACATCCTGGTCACTATTTGCAAACATACTGTATTACCAACGATGGGAAACGTATTACGTGCAAGGTAGTTGTGGGATGTAATGGAGTTCACGAAGCACATTGCTTACCAACCCATCTGCTTTTGAAGGTTTTTCTTCCTCATCTCTAGATCAGAATGCACCGGCACATCGAGGAGTTGTTTAACATAGGTAATCAGGAAATGATCTCGTCTTGTTGGAAACAATCTCGGATCTCGTCGCTGACATGTAGTTGATGCGAACTAGTTCCACACAATCGTAATCGTTCGCTAATAGATGATTTAGCCCATCTATTTAACGCCAATATCCAATCAGAATCGACTTTCGGATACCCACGCTCTGTATTACCTACTTAGTATACTTGAGCCAGTCAAACGTCTAACTACAAATAGGACACGGCGACCACCTGAAGTCCGAATTGGTGTAGTGGCTAACATTTGACGCTCTCATGGTTGGGAATTGGATCAATCCCGCCAGAACCGTCAAGCCCGGGGTTCGATTCCCCGATTCGGAGATAATTAATATTGTGGTTTTCTTTTTGACTTTCGAGTCTCTAATTTGGAGCTGCCTAATTTTCCTTTTTTACTTTTACTTACTCATAAATTCTGGATGCAAACTTGCTATGCAGTATTGTTTAACTAGAGTTAAGAGAATTGAAAATTATTGTTTAGAATTCCCCGGATTAGAAGATGACTCATTATGTACCGAAGCTATTATCACTGCTAACGGAGAATTTGATTACCCTACTACCTATGGTTTTTGGCGACGTGCTGAACAACGGAATCTAAACCATTCCGATTTGCCGCCATGTACATGTGTGAAACAAGAAGAACCAACGCCGGCGCTATGCAACCACAACACCATTGAATCAAGACGAAAGAGGTTAATATCCGTCAGCCCTAAGCCTGGACACGACCCCCGCTCCCCGTCTTGAAACCCTCTAGGACAACACCCCAAGTGCCGGCCTCACCTCCGTATCCAGCCTGTCCCGTAGCAATCCGACGCATGAGAAGCGTGTCCTTAGCAACGGGCAATCTCTTAGCCTCGGTGCTTTGCAGACACTCCGTGAACCACTGTTCTTCCTCCGCATCGAACGGCAGACTGGTCAAGTCGCGTGCCCGCTCGGCTGACTCGTCGTTGTGGGTAGAATCGAGTGCGGACAAGACAAGGCGGTTGAATAGCTGGCGGCGCATAAAATCGGCGTGCGATCGCGAGAATTGGAAGGCGTCGACAACGCTAGATCGTGCGAGGGCGTCGAAGAGTAGTTCCAAGGCAGAAGACGACTGGAGAATAGGCTGCACCGCATGATAGTATGCGAGAGGCTTGCTGTAGTCACCGTTCTTGGCGTGGCGGACTAGGACGGTAATGATGTCGTCGACAAAGTCCGGCTGTAGCGAGGGATGGGTGAGGTGTTGTAAGGCGAGATCGAACTGTAGAGCATCCATGTGCCACAAGCCCTTCATGAAGATCCTGTACTTCTTCGGCATGCCGGTGCGCTGGGCGTAGCTTTCGGCTAAGCTGGTCTTATTTTGATCTTCAATATCTAATAAAAGGTAGAAGAGGACGGAGAGCTTGTGGTAGATCGTAGCATTCTTAGTCTCGCATATTTGTTCGTAGAGCTGGCGGAGGGCGTCTTTGTTCTTGGGAGGATAGTTGCTGGTAACTATATAGTAGCAGTAATATTAGTAGATGAATTGAGAGTGATGTCTATATATCCTAAGAGAATATCCTTGCCCTTGGAGAGGTTTAGTGCCTTCAGCACTCGATCGATAAATAAGGACCCTTCCAGGCTTCGACGAGAGGATTCGATTCGTTGCACGGCATTACGACTGTAAGGGAAGGGATCTAGAGGGCCGAAAACTCGGTCGAATTCCGCAGGCTGAAGCATTTTGAAGATTTTGACGATGTATGAAGCTGGATTCGCACTTAGTAAAACGGAATTGGGCACTGTCGACGTAAATAACTAAAAGACTGGACTGGTATGCGTTGATGTATCCGGAAAGACAAAACGAAAGCTGGAAGCTTTGAATGCGCCGGGGAATTTTCGGATAAATTAAAGCAATTATTGATGAAGGCGCGTCCTAAGACGCGGTGACGGGGTTTAGGCTTAGTCACCCATTTAAGAGTGGGGGATCTGTGGTGCCTCAGCGGGGGTTTGGGTAGGGTTGTTTACTGTTTACTTTTGTACCTGGATTTTATTGCTGCAACTCGAACCTCGAACTCGACAGGTACAAACTACGACCATAACGGAGGTCATACGGACAACAACGACGGGAACAAACTGAAACGATATCGCGAATGATACATACGAAGTCGCATATTCATCTAGAGTATCCGAGGAAACAATTATCCTTTCGAGAACCCCGTTTATAAGTACACATTATACATTACACATCACCATCAGCAACAATGTCTACACGACCAACTCGTCGCGCAGCAGCGGCGCGACGCACTGCTATTATTGAATCCGAAGACGAAGACGATGTTGTCGCAAACACCACCAAGTCTGTAAAACAGGAAGAAGACGAAGACGAATTTGCCCCTGAAACATCCACCGCCAGATCTTCACGTCGCCAAACACAGAGCAGAAGAAAATCCGCTGCACCTGTAACACCGCGCGCGAACCGTTCGAGGAAGAGCGTCAGCGTCGCTCCTGAAGCGTCTATCGAGCCAAGTGAGATATTGGATCCTGACGAGACTGCTGCTGCTAGCATTCTTAGCCCAGAGTCGGCGGTGAAGAAAGCCCCCTCTCCGAGGAAGCGAAAGAGCGTTGCGCCGCGCAGGGTTAGCAAAGAGCCCACGCCTGATAGCCAACCCATCATGCCGACACCCGCCCATTCTGAGGAACCATCTGAGCTTCACGGCACGCCCTTGGCTGATATTACCAGTCAGAGCATCAACGAGAAGTCCCAGTCCCCCGATGAGACAATCACCCAGGTCAAACCGATACGACCGATGGATACCATTCTAGAGAAACCCATGGATATTGTCCTCAAGTCGCGCAAGATGGCGGCACCGGTCGTAGAGGATACTGGACCGAAAGCCCGTATCGTTATCACGTACCTGATCTTGAATAACTTCAAGAGTTACGCCGGGCGACAAGAAGTCGGTCCTTTCCACTCCTCTTTCTCCTCGGTCGTAGGTCCCAACGGTTCTGGAAAGTCGAACGTTATTGATTCACTACTTTTCGTTTTTGGATTTCGAGCGAGCAAGATGCGACAGGGCAAAATCTCTGCTTTGATTCACAACTCCGCCGCCTACCCTAATTTAGACCATTGTGAAGTAGCTGTCCATTTCCAGGAGGTCATGGATCTGGTATGTAAAAAAACACCAACATCAGAAGTAATGCCCAAAAGTAGAATGCTAACCGTACTTCTAGCCTGGCGGGGGAACTGAAGTTATCCCCAATTCGCAGCTTATTATCTCGAGAAAGGCCTTCAAGAACAATTCGAGCAAATACTATATCAATGGGAACGAGTCCAATTTCACCATTGTGACCACTCTTCTCCGTGATCGAGGGATTGATCTGGACCACAAGCGTTTCCTTATCCTTCAGGGCGAAGTCGAATCTATCGCTCAAATGAAGCCCAAGGCTGCTAATGAGCACGAAGATGGGCTGCTGGAATATCTCGAAGACATCATCGGTACTTCCAAGTATAAGACGCCCATTGAAGAAGCGGCGACTGAGGTAGAAACCCTGAATGAAATCTGCATGGAAAAGAGTGGACGAGTCCAGCATGTAGAAAAGGAGAAGAATAGCTTGGAGGATAAAAAGAATAAAGCGTTGGCCTTCATCCGAGACGAAAACGACTTAACTCTTAAGCAATCAGCACTGTACCAGCTTTACATCAGCGACTGTAATAACAACGTGAGCGTCACCGAAGAAGCCATCAGTCAGATGCAGGCCCAGCTGGATGATGAACTTGAGAAGCACCAAGGCAACGAACAGGTCATCAAGCAGCTGCAGAAGGCATATTCTAAGGGTGCAAAAGAGTTTGAATCGCAAGAGAAGAATGTGCAAGCCCTCATTAAGGAGGCTGCCAAATTCGAGCAAGAGAGAGTCAAGTTTGACGAGAAGAGGAAATTCCTTACAGATAAGCAAAAGAAGCTGGAAAAGACGATTTCCAACGCGGAGAAGTCCGCGGAGGAAGCCGAAGAAACCGTCGAGCAATGCACCGAGGAGATCGCTTCGCGCGCCGAAGAGATAGTGGCCCTCGAACAGCGTGTGCAGGTAGAAGAGGCAGAACTTGCGACGATCCGAGAGAGCCTCAAAGGCAAAACCCAAGTCTTCTCCGACCAGATCGCCGTCAAGCAGAAGTCACTTGAGCCTTGGAAGGAGAAGATCAACCAGAAGCAGTCTGCTATCGCCGTTGCCGAGTCTGAGCTAGCCATCCTCGAAGAGAAGGCTAATGCTGGTGCTGTCGCTCTTGAGGAGATGCAAACAAAGATTTCCAATATCGAAGAAGGCCGTGCTGCGAAACTCGAGGAGCTGAAGGAGTGCCAGGCTGAAAAACTCAAATTGGAGAAAGAAGCGAAGAAGGTCGAAGCCGATATCGAGAGTATGTCTCAGATGGAAACCAACGTCCGATCTAAAGTCTCCAATGCCAGGCAGAAGGCAGAGGAAGCAAGGTCCAGCCTTTCGCAGAACCAAAACCGCGGGAATGTACTCACCGCATTAATGCGAATGAAGGAGTCAGGTCGAATCGACGGTTTCCACGGTCGTCTTGGAAACCTCGGCACTATCGACGAGAAATACGACGTTGCTATTTCTACAGCATGTCCTTCGCTCGACAATTTCATAACGGATACGGTAGAGGCTGGTCAGCAGTGCATCGAATATCTCCGGAAGACCAACCTCGGGCGAGGTAACTTCATCTGTTTGGATAAGCTGCCTGTGCGTGCCATTCAACCTATCCAAACACCCGAAAATGCACCACGTCTCTTTGATTTGATCAGGCCCAAGGACGAAAAATTCCGGCCTGCCTACTATCACGCACTCAGGGATACACTGGTAGCCAAGGACCTAGCCCAGGCGAACCGTATCGCCTATGGTGCTAAGAGATGGCGAGTGGTCACGCTCGATGGAGAGCTTATCGACACGAGTGGTACCATGTCTGGAGGTGGAAGGACTGTCAAGAAGGGTCTGATGTCCAGCAAACTTGTAGCTGATACATCTCAAGAGCAAGTCACCAAACTTGAGAGCGACCGTGACTCTATTGAGCAAAAGTTCCAGGAATTCCAAGATCACCAGCGAGAGCTCGAGTCTCGTCTCCGATATCTAAGGGATCAGATCCCGCAATTAGACACCAAGATGCAGAAGATCGGCCTTGAGGTACAGAGTGCGGAGAAGAACCTCGCAGATGCTCAGCGACGGGTAAAGGAATTGAGCAAGGAGCACCAACCCTCACAGTCTGATGATAACCGAGTGGCCGTTTTGCAAAAAGAAATCTCGAAGCTCAACAAAGAGGTAGCAAAGCTCCATGCCGAGACCGAAGGTGTGGAGACGGAGATAAA